TGGGGTTCCTTTGTATTTTGAGGCTGTTTTCTTTTGCTGTGCAGAAGCTTTTTAGTTTGATGTAGTCCCATATGTTTATTTTTTCTTTTGTTTCTCTTGCCCTAGGAGATGTATCAGTGAAAATTCCACTACATGCGATGTCTGAGACTTTACTGCCTGTGCTTTCTTCCAGGAATTTTATGGTTTTGCGACTTATATTTAAGTCTTTTATCCATTTTGAGTTTATTTTTGTGTATGGTGAAAGTTGGTGGTCTAGTTTCATTCTTTTGCATGTATCTGTCCAATTTTCCCAGCACCACTTATTGAAGAGACTATCTTTACTCTATTGTATGCTCTTGCCTCCTTTGTCAAATATTAACTGACCATAGTGGCGTGAGTCTGTTTCTCGGGTCTCTACTCTGTTCCATTGATCTATATGTCTGTTGTTGTACCAATACTAGGCTGTTTTGATTACAGTGGCATTGTAGTACAGTTTGATGTCCGGTAAAGTGATCCCTCCCACTCTGTTCTTCTTTCTCAAGATGGCTGCAGCTATTCGGGGTCTTTTTTGGTTCCATATAAATTTTCGAAATGTTTGTTCTAGATCTGTGAAATATGCTGTTGGTATTTTCATAGGAATTGCATTAAATTTATAAATTGCTTTGGGTAGTATAGACATTTTAATGATATTAATTCTTCCAATCCATGAGCATGGTATATTCTTCCACTTGTTTAAATCTTCCTCTATTTCTTTTTTCAGTGTCATATAGTTTTCCAAGTACAGGTGTTTCACATCCTTGGTTAAGTTTATTCCTAGGTATCTTATTTTTTTAGTTGCAATGGTAAATGGTGCTGTGTTCTTAGTTTCTCTCTCTGAGAGTTCATTGTTGGTGTATAAGAATGCCATTGATTTCTGGATGTTGATTTTGTATCCAGCTACCTTGCCAAATTCGTTTATCAAATCTAGTAGTACTTTGATGGAGTCTTTAGGGTTTTCTATGTACAATATCATGTCATCTGCAAATAATGACAGTTTTACTTCCTCCTTTTCAATGTGGATACCTTTTATGTGTTTTTCTGTCTCATGGCTGTGGCAAGGTCTTCCAGTACTATGTTGAATAAGAGTGGTGAAAGTGGACATCCCTGTCTT